GCCCCGGGATCCTGTCCGTCCCCCTGGGGTCCTGTTCCCCCGGAATCCTGTCTGTCTGGTGTCCTGTCCGCCCGGGTTCCCGTCCCCCTGGATTCCCCCGGATTTCCGTCCCCCCACCCCCCTCTCTGTGACTTTCCTCCCGAGGACTCCCCCTTTCCAACAGCCAGTGCTGTTTCTTTTAGCTTCTCCAAGGTCTGATGGACAAATGAAGTGACACACATTGGGGGCCCAAGAGATACTCTGGGGCCCGAGGGCCTCACCTTACACTCGCCTCATCTCAGTTCCACCGGCAGCACCACAGGGGCGTCAGGAGTGATCCCTGAGCGCAGTGTCCAGAGTATTTCCTGAGTCTGGCCAGGGGATGTCCCTGTCCCCACCCCGGCCCACGCCTCAGCCCCCACCCTGCAGATGACGGCTGAGGGGCCCCAACCTGGGGCCTGGGGCCTGTGTGAGGAGGAGTGAGTCTTCCTCGAGGCCAGTCAGGGGTGCCTCTGGCGGTGGGGACTGCGCGTTCCTCCTGCCCAGCCTCCCATCACCCCCTTATCTTCTGCAGCACCTCTCTGAGCGAGATCCCATTCTAGGGGGATGAGATTGAACCCCAGAAAGCCTACATCGGCTATGCCAGGGTACACAAGCCCCCCCCTTTAATTTTTTTATTTTATAAAGTAGTTCACATTATTTGATTACGTTTAACATTCTATTCAGGTCTCCCAAAGAGGAATTGAAAGAGCTATGGGGAGGATGGGGGGGGAGGGGAGGGATACTGGGATTCGTGGTGGTGGAAAATGGGCACTGGTGGGGGATGGGTAAAACCCAGGCACAAAAATTTGTAAGTCTACAACTGTACCTCATGGTGTTTCACTAATGAAAATTAAAAAAAGAAAAAATGAAACAGAGGCTATAAACAAAAGAAAAGGAAGAGCTATGCTTGGAGTATCACATTTCACTCAAATGAGAGAATCCAGAGTTCCGACCTCTACCTCTGTCGACAGTCAAGAATCAGGGACGCTGTCTTGCTTGTCATCAAAAATCAGATGGGCTGGACACGTAATGAGATTTGGAGACGACCGCTGGACTAGAGCCATTACTGACTGGATTCCACAGGACGTCAAAAAACCGCCTGGCTGCCCAACTACAAGATGGTCAGACTTCTTCGTCAAGACCCTGAACGATCAGTTTGAGGCTCTTCGTGTTTCTAGAATGAACAGATGCCATTGCGCTACACTAGCATGCGACAGGGACGAATGGAGACGTTACTGGCACCCTCTCGAGCAACTCGATTAGTAATGGGAAGTCAAGTGATCAAGTGATTTAATATTCAAACACCAATCTACCACCATCACACCTTCCCACCACCATATTTTGAATGTTTCCATCCCGAACTCCAATCCCTGCCCCAAAGCAGATGTGAAATAATATATTCTGTATTGTCTGTTATGAAAATCTGCTGAAAATGCTAGAATAAAGTATCCTTAGAGGAAAGAGGGTGAGGATTGTTGTTTTCCACCCAGGGCCATTACACCCTTCTATAAGAGATCACTAACATGTTGTTAAAGGTTGAACCTTGGGGGCTGGAGTCATAGCACAGCGGGTAGGGCGTTTGCCTTGCAAGCGGGCGACCTGGGTTCGATTCCCAGGATCCCATAGGGTCCCCTGAGCACTGCCAAGAGTGATTCCTGAGTGCAAAGCCAGGAGTAACCCCTGAGCATCGCCAGGTGTGACCCAAAAAGCAAAATAAATAAATAATAAATAAGTAAAGGTTGAATCTTGTGTGTTTTTTCATATATATATCTATAAAAATGTATATTTCCCTCTAAGATTGGTTGTCTCCTATTTTGAATGCTGTCAAATGTGGTGCAGTAATCCTGGAGTATGGGTAGAGTATTTGGTTCGAAGTATAGTGTGGCTGTGAATGCGGCCACGACACAGAGCCCCTTACCGTCCGAGCAGGGAGACCAGTGTGGGGTGGTCTCTGCCCTACTCTGTGCCAAGGCTGAAGCCAGATTCCACCTGCCCAGACCCCCAGCACGATCGTGTGTGGCCCCAAGGGGCCCGGCACCACTGGTCTGAACAAACCACATCACCAGGCTTGAACATCCAAGCACCTGTTCTGCCGGCTGAGGTCTGCCCCGGAGCTCTGCCCCTTCCTGGGCTGGGAGAGCTGGCATTCAGCTTGGCTTGTTTTGACACCTTGGGTTTGGGGCCTGCTCCTAGCGGTGCCCAGGGCTCATTTCCAACTTGTGACTACATGTCGGCCATGTGCCAGGCGAGTGCCTAAGCCCGGGCACCGTCTCACCAATCCCAGCTAGATTTAGATGCCAGTCTCTAGACGGCGAGTTCAGGAACCTTACGCAGCCCCTGCCCCCTGGCTCCCGAGTGTGTTTGGTCTCTGACCCAGGCGGGGACCCCACCCGTGGTGCCAGGGCCGAGCAGGGCCCTGACTCAACAATGCCTCTTTCTTCTTCATAGTCACTGGGGGCTCCCTCAGAACCCCAGAACTCAGTGCTCGGCAGGGAGGTGGCTAGGAGCAGCGTGTTGGCCAGCTGGTCCCATTTCTGCCTCTGGACGTCTCCCGAGCGGCCAGTGTCCTCGGGACCTGCTCTGGGGACCCAGAGAAGCCAGGACTTCCTCTTCCGGCCACGACTTCCTCCAGCATCCCAGAGTTGGTGGCCTCACTGGGCCTGGGAGCAAGCAGGCTGCCCACAGGTACAGGCTGGAGTGAGAATGGGGTTCTAGCCAGCAGCTGCCTTCTGCCAAAAGGGGGGGGGGGTCACGCTTCAGCCGGGATCTCTGGAGCTGACCCAGAAGCTGAAATCTGGCCAAAATGACACCCCCGCCTGCGCCCCCCACCCCACCCCCATGCTATCTTATAGCGTGGGGGGAGCAGGGTGAAGACAGTGAACTTTAATTTTAGGGAGGCCTTCAGGATGGGGGGACGCAAACTCAAGAGCTGTGGAGTGATGCCTGTGTAGAGCCAGACTCCTGGGCGTTGAGGGCACAGAGCTGGCCTGGTCCCGCCAAGGCGGGCTTACGCCAAGGAGCTCCTCGGGCTGTGCAGGAAATGGGGACACAGTGACAAGACCAGAGTGGGTGATGGGGAAGACGCATGCTTAGGAAGAGGGGGACTCACAGACGCCCCACGAAAGGGAGAGAGTGGAGGGAGGGAGAGAGAGAGCAAGAGGGAGGAGGGGAAGAAAAGGGAGTGGGAGAGGAAGGAGGAAGCAATGAGCGGAGAAAAGGAAGGGGGGAGATGGGGAGGTGGGCAGGGGGGAGGAAGAAAGGAGGGACAGAAGGAAAAAGCAAGGAGAGGAAAGAAGAGGAAAGGAGGAGGGTTAGAGGGGAGGGGGACAAGGCGAGGCAAGTGGGTGAGGGAAGAAAAGGAGGGAGGGGAGGGGGAGGGGAGGGGGAAGGGGAAGGAGGGAGGGGAAGGGAAGGAGGGGGGAGGGGCAGTGAAAGGGAGAGAAAGGAGGAGGACGGACGGTCGTGCTGCAGATGATGAGCACTCTAGAACAGTCCCTCGATGTGCTTCTTACTTGGGAGTAGGACAGTCGGAACCCCAAGACTAGGCGTAATCTAGAACACCCGCTTCTCTTGGTGTTCCAGACGCGCTTTGAGCTGCATGTTCATCCCTTGCAAGCTGCCCTTCTCAACGGCTCACAGAACTCCTGGCAGGCCGGGGGACAGAGTTACTGTTTCCCACTGAGCCGTCTCTCCATTGTACGGTTTGGAATCTTGACATGTGTCAAGGACGTGGCAGGATCAGGGCATGGCAACTTTTATTTTTTATTTATTTATTTATTTATTTGCTTTTTGGGTCACCCCCAGCGATGCTCAGGGGTTAATCCTGGCTCTGCACTCAGGAATTACTCCTGGCGGTGCTCAGGGGACCATATGGGATGCTGTGTCAGCTGCGTGTGAGAGGCAAACGCCCTCCCCGCTGTGCTATAGCTCCAGCCCCAGGGCACGACAACTTTTTTTAAAATTTTTATTAGTGAGACATCATGAGGCACAGTTGTAGACTTACCAATTTTTGTGCTTGGGTTTCAATTATACAATGATCAAATACCCATCCCGCCACCAGTGCCCATTCTCCACCACCACGGATCCCAGTACCCCTCCCACCCCCATCCCCCCCCATCCCATCCCACCCTGCCTCTGTGGCAGGGCATTCCCTTTTGTTCTCTCTCTCCTTTTGGGTGTTGTGGTTTGCAAAAGAGGCAATGGGTGACAATCATGTTTGGTCTATAGTCTACTTTCAGCACGCTTCTCCCATCCTGGGAGGATCCTCCCAACACCCTTTATTTGGTGCTCCCTTCTCTATCTGAGCTGCCTTTTCCCCTAGCATGTGTCGTTGGTCTCAAGCCATGAAGTAAAATTCCTGGTACTAATCTCGGCCATTCTTGGGTGCTAGTCTCCTATTTTGTTCCTTTATGTTCCCCAGATGAATGCGATCTTTCTATGTCTATCCCTCTCTTTCTCATTTCGCTTAGTATGATACTTTCCATATAGTACCACTTGTATGTAAATTTCGTGACTTCATCTTTTCTAACAGCTACATAGTACTCCATTATGTAAATGTACCAAAGTTTCTCTAACCAGTCATCTGTTCTCGGGCACTCAGGTTTTTTCCAGATTCTGGCTACTGTAAAGAGTGCTGCAATGAACAAACAAGTGCAGATGTCACTCCGACTATACTTTTTTGCCTCTCTGGGGTATATTCCCAGGAGTGGTATTGCTGGGTCAAAAGGGAGCTCAATTTCTAGTTTTTTGAGAATCATCCATACTGTTTTCCAAAAGGGCTGGACCAGTCGGCATTCCCACCAGCAGTGAAGGAGGGTCCCTTTCTTGCCACATCCGCGCCAGCACTGGTTGCTATTGTTCTTGTCGCTGTGGGCCAGTCATGACAACTTTTAAAGAAAAGTCATACTTGGTGCTGGTGGGTCGTGCTCAGTCCAGTGGCTGCTAACAGTGCTCCTCACCCCCTTCCCCCACAGACACCCATGGCGCTGCCCTGGGCAACGCTCCTGCTGCTGGCCTGGTGGCTGGCCGCTGCCCAGGGCTCCCCGGAGCACTCGGAGGACCAGACCAGCCCCAACAGATCTCGGCCCTTGCACATCCGGACGGACCAGAACCTGCTGGTGCTGACAACTGACGGCTTGGAGCAGATGCTGGGCCAGACCCGCTTCCTCATGGTGCTATTCCGTGAGTGCCCCTCCGTTCTGGGCCAGGGGCAGCGGGGGAGCAGCGAGACCTGCTGCCTTGCTCCCTGGGGGCTAGGGCAGGGGTGTCCAGGGAAGGTGTGTGTGTGTGTGTGTGTGTGTGTGTGTGTGTGTGTGTGTGCGTGCGTGTGCGCATGCACACATGCATTGCTGAACACCAGAGCGGGTTCTTCATACTAAAATAGTCTCTAACACCAGCCCAGTTTGCAGACACAAAGACTAAGGTCCTGGGGCATGCAGTGCGTTGCAAGGGATTCCATTGCCCCTCAGGGACAACAAACGATTTAGCCTGCAGTGCCTGGTCCCCACTGAGGCCAGGAGGACGGTCCACTCTCAGGCAGCTTCACTCTTTTCTCCGTGTACAGCGGGCATCCTAAGAGCTGCGCTGGATCCTTCGGGAGGGGTGAGGGAGCGAGGTCTTGGGAAACGCATGGTGGGGCATCACAGGGTCAGAGGTCGCTCTCGTTTCTGTGGGCTTCCTTCGCCCCCTGCATTGTGCCTGGGCGGCCGGGGGCGGGGGAAGGGGTGTTTCATGGCCCTGACCTTCCTGGCCACTGAATGTCAGGTCATCAAAAGCCTTAGCCAGCGCCCAGCAAGGTGACCCCCCATGTCATCCCCCGTCCCGAGAGCTTTGACAACAACAACAACAAATCAAACTGACAGCTTCGAACCCAGAGTCTGGCTGTCCCCGGCTCCACTTCCTGCGGGCTCCACTTCCTAGGAGTGGAACTGCAGGACCAGCAAACCACTTGTCCTGGAGTCTCCCCTGACCCCCTACACTCACAGCCTCCGAGTGGGGCCCAGCCCCGGCTCAGCTCTTTTTTTTTTTAAATGAATCACTGTGGGATACAGTTACAGACTTACAAACTTTCATGCTCACATTTCACATACATACAATGATCGAGTCCCCATTCCTCCACCAGTGCCCATTCTCCACCACCAATGTTCCCACTATCCCTCCTGCCACCCCCACCCAACCCACCCCCTGCTTCTGTGGCAGGCACGATTCCTTTTGTTCTCTCTCTCTCTCTCTCTCTCTCTCTCTCTCTCTCCTTTAAGGTGTTGTGGTTTGCAATGGAGGCATTGAATGACCATCATTCGGTCTACAGTCTACTCTTAGCACAAATCTCCCATCCTGAGCGGGCCCTCTAAGCATCCTTTACTTGATTCCCTTCTCTATCTGAGCTGCCTTTCCCCCCAGCATGTGAGGTCAGCTCCAAAGCCGTGGAACAATCCTCCTGGTCCTTATCTCTATTATCCTTGGGTGTTAGTCTCCCATTCTGTAACCAGTGCAATCCTTCTATGTCTGTCCCTCTCTCTCTAATTTCACTTAGCATGATACTCTCCATGTTGATCCACTTATATGCAATTTTCATGACTTCATCTTTTCTAACAGCTGCATAGTATTCCATTGTGTAGATGTACTAAAGTTTTTTTAACCAGTCATCTGTTCTCAGGCACTCGGGTGTTTTCCAGATTCTGGCCATTGTAATCAGTGCTGCAATGAACTTACAAGTGCAGATGTCATTTCTACTATATATTTTTTTCTGGCTCATCTCTTGTCCTAAGTCTGTCTCCCTGAGGATCCCCCTGCCACTTCCGCTGATGGAACCAGTCTCTCACTGGCAAGAGAAGGAAACTGCGGCCTCTCTTCATCAGGGCCCAGAAGGAGGTACAGATGGGGTCACTGTGTTCCCCAGTTCCTTGGGGACTGATCGAGAAGTTCCACCGGGATTCCTGCCTGGTGACAACGGTTCTGTCATGGGATCTCGAATGGAGTTTTAGGACACCAAGAGCTTCACGGGGAAGGGGGGGGGGGGCTTTAAAAATGTTTTCTTTAAACATGATGGCTTGGGACTGGAGCGATAGCACAGTGGGTAGGGCGTTTGCCTTGCACACGACCGACCCAGGTTCGATTTCCAGCATCCTATATGGTCCCGAGCACCGCCAGGAGTATTCCTGAGACAGGAGGAACCCCTGTGCATCACTGGGTGTGACCCCCCAAAAAAGCAAGAAAAAAAAGAACTTAAACATCATGGCTTACAGATTTGCTCCGACTACAGTTGTCAGAGGCTTTTGATGCCCAGGGAAGAAGCAGGGCCCTTTCCTGCCCACCTCGGGCCGTCTGCGCGTGTTCCGCCCAGTGCCAGCCTCCAAGCAGGCTTCTCTCTGTTGCTGCTCCCCTGTGAATCCCAGAGTAACGCTCTGTGGAGGGGCTGCTCTGGGCTGACTCCTGGCTCTGTCCTCAGGGATTGCTCCTCTGGGACCCCATGTGGTGCTGGGGCTGGAGCCCAGGTCTGCCGCACACAGCTCTCAGACCCTCTGAAAACACAAGAGGCCCAGCAGTCAGCATGGACTGCCCCATTTTGTGGCCCCGTGGCTGCCCTCTTAACCTGCCCAAAGGGAAAATTCCTGACCCCTTAGGGCACTTCACTTCCATCCAGAGCCCAGCAGAGAAGCCCCAGGCTGTAGTAAGAGCCAATCAATTCCACTTTACTTGCGCTGGAGAAAGCCCTGTGTTTGAACACTTGAAAGCGTTTCCTCCAGCGGGTCTTTGAAAGTCGTGGACACCCATGGAAGGCCTGTTATCTAAAAGAGACACTTAACTGCATTCGATTTAAATATTTGATTTATTCCAGTACACAGTTTAGAGCAAAATGAGTTTTCAGAAACTGGCAGGCCTTCGAAGGTAACCTTTGCAAAAGCTAATCATTTGGGGAAACACATGGGCTTGGCTTCGCTCCAGAGGTAAACAAACTCCTTGCAATAGGATTGGGTTTTTGTGGTTGTTGTTTTTTAAAAAAAAAAAAAGATAATATTGTCCACAGGGTAATAGTGCCAGGGACACTCTGGATTGCTTAGTTTTTGGTCTCTCTGTGGGTTTCTGTAGGATCTTCATTCCTGAAAGACTGTCCTTGACAGTCCCTGTGTGACTCCTGGACCCTCAGCTCCTTCTCCCCTAACTCATGGTCGCTCAAGGGCAAAGTCAGAACCTTCAAGGTCATGCTTGGCTCTTACTCGGTCTCAGCTCCGACCTGTGACCAAGTCCCCTTGATGCTCCCCTAAAACTGGGTGCAGACCCCCTGCCATGCCTTGGGTCTAGCGCTCCCAACCCCCATCCAGAGAAGCTCCTTCTTGGGGCTCCAAGAATGCACCATAATGCACCCCTACACACACACCCGAGTTTTTCCTGAAGTGCGAATGTAGCAAAAAGTCCCCGGAGACTCTCTAAGCTGCAAAGTCCTAGACACGCTCCCCGTGGCCTCTGCTTACATGGGCCTCGGACCCGAGGGCTCTCGACTCCCCAGGACCCGCGTGTTCCATCTCAGGGGTGCCTGCGGGGAGCTGCCCCAGCCATATAGACTGTTGGGCAGCACCTTGGTCTCTAAGTCCAGCCGTGACCCCCAGGAAATGTCCCAGACAAATCCAGATGCCCCCTGCTAAGGACCAGGGTTAATGTCCCCCAGTAAGGACCGGGCTGATGAGCTTCCTTGGGTCAGAGGCGGCAGGGCGACATCAGAGCCTCCTCTCCTCCTCCCCTGCCCAGCCCTCCTCGTCAGAAGGGTGCCTGGACCCACACCTCACAGAAGAAATGCAGCTGTGGCCACTGGGCCTGTCAGTGCCAGGACTGTCCACCAGGGGACGTGCGCTCTTGCTCTCTCTCCTCCCTTGCCAGTGTTCATTTCTGACTCCAGGATGGTGGGGGTCACGGTAGCAGCAATATGGAATGTAACATTCCGTGCTTACCCAGTCCAGGGCATCGGGACAGGAGCTCTCCAAACCCAGCGTGAGTCAGAGCAGGCTGCACAAGGCTGGATCTCGGCTAAAACTTTTTGCCATTTTGACCTTGAATAAGAGTAGACTAATTTCCCTCCCTCCCTTTTTGTTTTTTTCTCCCCTTCTTTCCCTCCTTTCCCTTTTTCTTCCTTCCTTCCTTCCTTCCTTCCTTCCTCCCTTCCCTCCCTCCTTCCCTCCCTCTTTCCATCTTCCTTCCTTCCCTCCCTCTACCTCTCCTCTCCCACTGCACCCCTCACTCCCCACCTTCTTGCAGTGCCAAAGGACCGACCACAGGTCACACCAGGAAGCAGCTCCCACGTGCAAGAGGGATCCTGTGCTGAGTCACGCCCCAGGGACCTGCCTTCCACCTTGCATCAGTTCCCTTAGCCGAGACATTAGCTGGGGGAATCACCGACTCGATCCCCGAAGGGCTCCTGGGAAGTCATGAGCCCCATCAGCGGGCACTCAGTAACCCTCATGGTGAAGGCTGCACCCACTCCACCAGGGGCAGGTGGAGCTGGCAGGCACCCTGTGTGGGAGCAGGCAACCAAACGATGTGGTTGTTGTGGTCGCTGAGCCCAAAGGCCTGTGGCCTGGGGCCCTCTCAGTCGCTAGGCCCTGCACGTCTCTGCAGACAGTCTCCCTCGACTGAGCCATGGGGCCAAGGCAGAGCCGGGAGCGGGCGGCGACGCAGCCCCTCAGCTCTGGTCTCTCCCTGCTGGCTCTTTCAGACAACCCGTCCGCAAAGCAATCCCAGAGCTTGGCCGAGGAGCTGGGCAAAGCCGTGGAGATGCTGGGCAAGGGCAAGAATGGGGTGGGCTTCGGCAAAGTGGACATCACGGTGGAGAAGGATCTGCGGGAGTTGTTCAAGGTCCAGGAGGCCCCAGAGCTGAAGCTGTTTTTCGAGGGCAACAGATCGGAGCCCATCAGCTGCCAAGGTAAGGGTGCCGGCAAAGCCTCGCGATGCGGCCTCACAGACGGCATGCCAGGAAGTCCTGTAGAAGGGCTCCGGGCCAGAGGCCTGAAGCATAGGACAAGGTCAGTGCAAGCACCACAGAGGGATGAGCCGAAGCTGAGGAATGTTCTGTTTCGGTTCTTCGTGCATCTTCAGAAACCGAGGTGGTCTTGCGGGGACTGGAACTTAGAAGAGCTTCGTTAATTCTGTTTTGAATGGTGTTTGTAAGACCCAGGTGGCAGAGGGGCGGAGCAGGGGGCAGACAGAGGTGGACGGCTATGGGGGGCTACAGGATGGGAACCTGCAGTTCTCAGAATGGACACTAGAGGGCAGGCGAGGCCTGGGCTAGGGTGAGGTGCCCTTCCCGCTTCCAGTGTGTGTGTGTGTGTGTGTGTGTGTGTGTGTGTGTGTGTGTAAGCAGAAAACAGGATGAAAGAAAAGGGGACAATGGGGTCAGGAGCAGTGAGAGGAGGTACAAAAAAATTGCTCCTTCCCGTGGACCCTGCGGGACCCTGCGGAATCCTTTGTCCTGTAGGTGTGAGTGTCCCAGGGGGTCCAGAGTGCGGGCTCTGCGGTACCCTCCTGCTGGACCCTGCGCACCTGACTCCCTTCCAAACTACAAGGTGGCAATGTGGCCATTTTTTGGTCTGAGCTCCTTGGTGGCCTCCAGCAAGCACCCTTGGCAGGGGGAGCTTTTAACGATGGGGAAACTGAGGCACATAGAGGCGGAACAACTCCCTCACGATGCTCCCAGGCTTTCTGGGAAGGGTGAGATGACAGGCAGCCGAGGGACTTGGGACGCAGACACCAGCGAGTGACCCACACAGGGCGCAGCCGCAGGGCCAGGGTCGGCGCTGATGAAATTGGGCTCCAGGCCAGATTTGGTTTCAGCTCCCCACGGGGCTGACCGTGAGGAAAAGGACAGAGGAGATTCTTCTCCTGCTTTCCCAGCTCTGCTCCTGCACGCTTGGGGGGGGGGAGCCCCATCCCGGAAGAGACGCCCCGGGGACCACAGTGGGGCCTGGACACAGGAGGGACACCCCATTTCCCAGGCCTGCAGGGGAGGAAGTTCACCGAGACTCCGGCCCTGAGTCAAGGTGGGAGGGGCTGGGCTGCTCTGTGCACTGGTGGGGACCACTCGTGCCCTCCCCCCTGGAGGACGTGGGGCTCGTCCTTGCGGGGGGGTGGGGCAGGCTCCTCTCAACCTCCCCTCCAATTACCAAAGGCCAGTGGGCAGGGAGAAGCCGTGGGCCAGTGGGGGAAGCCATGGGCGAGCAATGGCACATCCACAGTTTGTGCCGGGAAATATGTGGCTGAGGCAGGCCCGGGTCACTCATCGACAGGGCGTCCATGGCTCTGGCCCTTGCTCAGAGCCTGAGAGACACGTGGCCGCTCGGGGGGACTCGGAGATGAGTGCTCAGGGACACAGGGACTCGGATTCAAGTACTCAGGAACACAGGACTGACGGACTCTGGGACTCAAGTACGGGGGTTCCTCAGGGACTCAGTTGCCTCCGTGCCTCTGGGACTCGGTGGCCTTCGTGCCACAGGGCTCGGGAGGCAAGTGTGGCTTGCACAGGTACCCAGAGAAAGTGGCTCCAGCCCCTTGAGTCTGTTCACTGCAATGATTCTGCCCATGATGGTGTCTCGGGCACCTGCGTGAGCTACTGCACACAGCAGAGGAAACTCGAGCAGGAAAGCGACGGCCACAGGCCAGGACACGGAAAACAAGCGGGGCAGGGCTGTGCCCAGACAGCTGAGCCCGTGACCTTGAGGAGCTGAGCAGCCGGGCGGAGGAACTGGGGTGAATTGCAGGACATGGAGCTCGGAGAAGGGTCCCAGCCACCTCCTTTCCAAGGGGGCTATGGGGGGCTTCAGCCCAGAAATGGGCAGGGGGTGGCGTCGATGAGGGTGCAGTGCAGTGTGGGGGTGTCTGAGGGTGGCATAGGGTCTCCTCTGTCCCTGAGACTGGATGTCACCAGAACTTCCAGGCTCCCTGTGGATTTTCAAATGGCCCCGAGGGCCAGTGCGCAGAGCCTTGCCTGGCGATGCTCAGCCCTGGATTCCCCAGCACCCCGTGATGCTCCAGGCTGCCAGATCACCCAGTGCTGTCAGAAGTCAGGGTGACGGCTCCCTTTTTCCCTTGGTTGTTGGTTTTTTTCGGGAGTTGTGCTCCTGGCCCTGTGCTCAGGGGTCACTCCTAAGTGCTCAGGGGAGCATGCGCAGTGCCAGGGATGGAAGCTGGGAGAGCCGTGTGCAAGATGAGCCCCTTCCCCCCTGGACACTCTCCCGGGCAACAGCAGCAGCTTCTGGGGGCCAGGAACGATCCATTTCCTGACCTGGGCACAAGTCACTCGTGTTAAGATCCTTTGGTGAAATCTCAAGCGGTGCACGACAGTCTATGAGTTTCGGTCAGTTTGCTTCGTGAAGGCTTTAAACCATGTCTTTGTATTCGGAGGAAATATATGGAAAGGTTCTGAACGTACAGTCCCGTTTGCTGAGCATCTCAGGGTGCCTTGGCTGGGCCCCCCTGCCGGGTCGTTGGCTCTCTGTAGTCTTTCCCCAGCCCCCATGCCCCCACTCCACCCCACCCAAGTGAACTCCAGTGACCTTCAGTTTTCACTCACATGACCCCAGGAAGCCTTCCTCTATTTTGTCGTTTAAATCATGCATGTCTCTCTTTTTACTGCAAAGTCCTTAAAGCTTGGCTAAGTTGCATGTGCTGCCCTATGCGCCTGTGATGATCTGGCAACCGACCATCCTGAGCAGTGTAAGGGCATGCATGGGGGCGGCGTGTCTGTCTCTACTCATGTTCAGACAGTGCTGTGAGGATGGAACAGACACCCTGGGCAGAGTTGCCACCGGAAGGAAGGAGTGATGGGATGAGGAAATAAAGCAGTTCCCTGCAAGCACTGCGCCGATCCCCCCAACTTCATTGAATGGTTCCATTCTTGGGACCGAAAATAGAGTCAAATAGGCTCGGCACATGGCTCGCAAGCAAGAGGCCTACCTAGGTCCAATCCCCAGCACCACGTGTCTCCCGCGGCACTGCTAGGAGTGACTCCCAAGCACAGAACTAGAAGTAGTATTGGGGGGGGGAGAGGGAGGGAGAGAGTGGGAGAGAGTGGGGGAGAGAGAGAGGGAGAGAGAGTGTGTGTTTAATTGAATAGCAGAACTTAACATTGTATTTATATTTCCTGGCTCATATGAAGTTGACGATCCCAGCAAGCCTGCCCGCGCGTAGCCTGGTATCCATTCTGATGCCTTGGCACTTCTTCCCAGAGATGGTCTGTATGTCCAGTCACAGAAACCAAGAGTTTCCTGTTGGTTAGCTCCTGAGAGTGGGAAGTGCCAGCTGCTATGTCTTCGTGGAGGCAAGGGGATTTGAGATCATGGAATTTCCCCAAGGCCACGGGGCTAGCTTGTCTTTGAGTCTGTGTTTGATTTATTTGCTTATTGGAATGAACCAACCCATCTGCCTGGCTCTTTGGGAAGTGGGTAAGACTATAGGGCAGGGCATACTTCTGCCTGGGCTTGGTCCAAACTTGGCTAGTTGGGGTGACCACTGGCACCTCAAACATTGGTGGCCTCATTGGCCAATTTGGGACCTTAACGAAATGCTCAGTGGAGTCGCTGTGGAGGCCAGGATCTGTGCGAAGTGCTCTCCAGACTTCTTCCCTTTGGTCAGTGCTCAAGTCTGAGCACTGGGGGTTGGGGGAGGGGAGAAGGGTGGGTGAGGACTGGCCCTGCGCCAGCTAAAAAAGGAAACATCCATGGGGTCCATTGAACTCTCTTTCTCCGTCTCCCTGTCTCTCTCTGTCTCTCTGTCTCTCCCTGTCTCCCTGTCTCTCTATCTCTGTGTCTCTGTGTCTCTCTGTCTCTGTCTCTGTGTCTGTTTCTGTCTTTCTCTGTGTCTCTGTGTCTCTGTCTCTGTGTCTCTGTGTCTCTGTCTCTCTGTCTCTTTCTCTCTCTCCAGGAGTGGTTGAATCGGCTGCTTTGGTCGTCTGGTTGAGAAGACAAATTCGCCAGAAAGTGTTTCTGTTCACTGACATCCAGGAGGTGGTCATCTTTGTGAACTCCAGGCCCTTGGTCATCATGGGCTTCTTCCAGGTGTGGGGGTCAGCCAGGGGGCTTACTGAGCTGTGAGTATTCCCATCTTGGAGAGGGCGGGGTGAGGAGTGTGGAGCGGTGGGGTGGATTCCAAGCTGGTTCTATTGGAGCAGGCGTGCTTTTCTGGGTGGACGCCCGCGTTCCAAAGAAAGGCAGGGTATGAGTGAAGCAGGAGAAGCTAATGGCAAAGGTGGACAGGTATAGAGAGAGGAAAGCGCTGAGCTGCCTGTTGAGTTGGTTTCTAGAGTGTGACTAGCCTTGGGGAGTTCCTTGGCACTGAGGCCTTACCACAGAGTCCGCACATTGTTTCTGCGTTGGAAGAAGCTTTGATGCTTTATCCCCTCCCCTGAGAAATCAGACTTGGGTATTATTACTAGGCGAGAACGAGCCACTTGAGTTGTGGAGAAAAAAATATCTCAGTTTCCTTTAAGTCAAATAATTGAGAGTGTAATTTGGCCAACTCTTGACACCAAGAGATGGCCATGCTTGGTCTTGCATTGGGCATTTGTGTGTTCAAATCAGTTGCCTCTACTGGGCTATGTGCTCAAGAGCTAAGGTGGGGGCTGTGCCCATGGCCAGTCCCAGATCAGTCCCTGGTACCACATTTGGTTCTCTGAGCGCCACTAGGAGTGATTCCTGAGCCAGAAGAAAGCCCTGAGCATCATGGGGCGTGGGCCTAATCCCCTCTCCCTGTAAAGGGACAACCCGCTCTCAAATGTCTCAATCCTTGTAATAACTCAATCCCTCTGTTGAGACCCTCTCATACTTGGAAGAGAGAGCCTGCCAGCTTCCTCCATTGCTTGGTGTGGATTTGCATATTCTGTTCTTAGTCAGAGCCAGAGAGAAAACCTGTATAGGAAACATCGGTGAAAAGGGACTTAGGTGGCCTTGGAATTTAAGAAGATGACTTGACCTCCATGCCCACCATCCCAGACATCTCGCTGTCAGCTGAAATCAAATATTGCCCCTCCAACAGGATTTGGAGGAAGAAGTGGCGGAATTGTTCTATGAAACTACCAAAGACTTCCCAGAGCTAACCTTCGGTGTGATATCGATTAGCAATGCAGCCGGGGGATTCCATGTCATCCTGGACAGTGTCCTGGTGTTCAAGAAGGTAAGATTTGGACCTAATGGCCAGTGGGGGAGACTTTCACTCAAGGCAGTGGACTATGCATGCATGTGGGGACTTGGGCTACAAATTTTGGTTCTGCCACGTGTGAGTAGCCAACCTTTGTGAAATGATGAACTCTTGATGTTTTTTTGGTCTTTCCAGCTGTTCTCACTGGAAGTTCCCTGCCTGGACTTAACCAGTAAATGCCACTAATTAAGACCCAAGTCAACGCCCTGCTCAGGCTCATGCTCCTCCCCCCTCAGTATTGCCAATTGTCATCCACATCCCCAAGACTTAAAATTTTCCACCATACACCAGATATCTTCCACCCTCAGACCTATTAGCCCATCATCAGCTGTCTCCAGGTGCCTGTGTTGAAAGTTGTTATCTCCTCCAAATCTGCTTCCTGTCTTCTCTCTCTCACTTCTCTCTCTCTCTCTCTCTCTCTCTCTCTCTCTCTCTCTCTCTCTCTCTCTCTCTCCCTCAACTATGCTCTCTCCTGTGCCTCCATGTCCCCCACCCAGTTGAACAAGGCCAGGAGAATCAGAAATCAGTCGAACGCTCCCCCGACTTAAAGCTCATAACCAAGTATAGGTTCAATAAATCTGAAAACCTCTGGTCTAGACTGAGGTCTTTTTCATAGATTGGTCGGACTCCCACTCAACACCAAATCCCAGCCCTATGGATTTGCTGGCCCCAACCACATCCAAATCCCTTCATCTCCCCATCCTCATCCTTCTAGGTCAAATAACCATCATCTTCTCCAGTCCATGGCAACTGTCGATTGATTGTTTTCTCTTTCCTCTAAAGAGCACGCTTTCCAAAATTCCCCTCTGCTGGTCACTTTCCATCTTTTTATTCAAATTCCTTGACTGTCTTCTGTCATTTTTAGGGTAGAGATTCAAATCTTTGAGGAGACCCAGAGTCCTCATTAGTCCAACGACTGTTCCTACACCACCCTCCGCTCCCTTTCCAGAATCTAGGTGTGAGCTCCTGGTGCAGCACCCAGTAGACGCCTACCTCTGTGGATCATAAAATTAATCAAAACATCATTTCCTTAGGCAAACAAATTACAGTTTACATATGAGTTAGTTCCATGTGCTTGCTGGCTCACTGTATGGGGCAGCACGGATTTATGGAGCATTTCTAGAAAGTTCTGATGAATAGTGTTGCTTGAGACCAGTGTTTCCCAGAGTCAGTCATAATGCCCCCAGGGATGGAGGGTGTTAAGGGGAATGGCCCAGGTGAGCAGGTGGTAGTAGGGATCTGCAGTAGTTTTCTGTTAATTTGCTTCAAGAAAAGGTGGATGGGGCTGGGGCTGGATGGGGTGTGTGGTCCTGAGTGACTTTTTTCTCCCTGAGAAGTGTTTGTGGGTTCAATAAATCTGGGAACCTCTGGTCTAGACTGAGGTCTGTTTCGTAGATTGGTCGAACTCCCATTCAAGACCAAATCCTTCCAATAATCATGTTCCTTATAGATATCACTCAGAGAGGCCAGGTTACTTGCCCAAGACCACACAGGAGGCAGATTCTATGATACCCTATTTGATTTGATTTTCAGAGAATTCTTAGCATTTCACTTATGTCACTGGAAGTCCCCCAATGGATTTTAAGATGGAGAAAAAAATAACGTGATTTGTGGCTTTGTGTGTGTGGTTTTCTTTTGTATAAAAACATATAAAAGTTCCAAAACTGATGTGCATACTTATGGTAACCTCATTATATAATGAAGATGATTGATAGTTCAGGCTCATGGGGGAATATACACACTATTTAATGACTTGTGTTGAAAGATTTGGGTACCTATTAGAAAGCTAAACAAGAGCTGAATACCTGCATCACTCCTTGAAGCAAATTAAATTCTATATTGATCCATGATTTTAAAAACACAAAGCCCTGATTTAAAAACACAAGAATAAAATCATGGTCAGATTAGAAGACATCCAGGGAGAGTTTTTCTTTCCAATCTTGGCAGAAAGAAAGCGGGGTTTCTTTAGAAAGCATGAAACAAATCCCAGAAACTATGGAATGAAATTCTGAAAAAAATTTGAACCACACAAACTAAATGTACACATGGTACATAATTACTCCCCCACTACCCACAAACCCCAAATCTAAGGTCAGCTAACAAACTTGGAAAGTATGACTGGGTGAGTTGAACGCCTACCCACTGTGCTATCACTACGGCCCCAAGTTGGTCCATTTTCTAACTGTGGTCCATGTTCTAACCCATAACTGTGGGGCATGGACCCAAGAGTAAGACCACCTGGGTTGGATCCTTCCTGCCACCTTTCATTGGCTTAGCATCCTTAGCTAAGTCACTAGTCCTTCTCAGTTTTCTTATTCTCAGTTTTCTCAACCATAACATGCAGGGGAGCAATAGTGCATAGCTCAGGGAGATATTCTGAGAATGAAATGGTTAATGTGTAGAGACTGCTTAAAACCATGGTGAACATTGCCTGGGCCCTCAGCAAGCCTGGGTGGTATTATTAGACTAGAATCAGAATCAGGAAAGAGTGTGGACCCATGCCAGAGGACAACAGGGACAGTGAAGCATTTAAGCAAGAAAAGAACATGACCGGATTTGCATTCTAACCACATCAATCTGGCTGACGTGTTGGTAGGGTGGGAGGGGAGCAAAGCAAGAAAAGAGATTGGAAGGTAGAAGCCTTGTGCAGGGGTCCAAGGAGGAGATTTGTGCCAGAGGAGGGAATTTGTAGAAATGAAGATGATCATTGATTATCTTTGTAAGAGAGAGATGCTGCTTCCTTTCGCTCTACTCCCCATCCCACAACTTCAATCTGGGCCCCAGAGAATTCACCCTCTGTGTTTACTCAGACCTTTCTCTGTGGCAACCACCTTACAAGACTCAATGTGCAAGGATTTATGGGGGGAAATGCCTCAAAAGAATGCAGAGAGATTTGGGGAGCCATCGGACCAGGATAGAGGTCTTTGGAAGGAACGATAGTTGGGTGAAAGCACATTTGGGCTGCACTGGTGTTCTTAGAAAATTCAGCATAGGGGCCAGAGAGAGGGTGCAATGTACGGCACTTGCTCACTTGCTCATCGGTTCAATCCCTGGCATCCTGTCTTGTCCCCCAAGCTTACAAGGAGTGACCCCTGAGCACCACTGGGGGTGCCCCCCACAAATCAAACCAACCCCCCAATAGAAAGTTCAGTTTAGTCTCTCCTAGAAGTCCCACAATTCCCAGAGGTAGGCTTCGCTGGAGTGTCCCGGCACTTCTATCGCTTGTTAGAATAAGTGTGAGACAGATTTCTCTATCCAGGACAGATAGTGGAATGGATTTCAAAACACAGCAGCCATGGGCCTTTTTCATCACTGCCACCCCGGCCTTCCCCCACCAGCTGTTGTGCTCAGCTGTCCAGAATGCCTACACACCTCCATGATGTGTCATCTGTCATGGTTGAGGGCTCCCGGGCTCCCAGAGGGGAAATGGCGCCATTTGCCGATATTAAGTGCGCAGATCATGGAAACAATTCCTGCCGTATTTTGCTTCTTCTGTCCAAGGGGAAAGTCATGGTCCGCCAGGAGCTGATCGACGACATGCACAACAAGCAGGACCTCAGGCAGGTCATAAAGCGACAACTTACCCATTTGGTTATTGAGTACAACTTGGAGGTCAGTGGGCACAAGGTCCAGTGGGCAGGTCAGGGAAGGGTCACAGGGATGGTTGTGCATGGGATGACCCGGTTTCTGTGTCATTTCAGACTAAGGATCTCATCTATGAGCTGCAAGTTGTGAACCACATGATGCTTTTTGTTTCCAAAACTTCAGAGGCATCTGACCCCATCATCCGGGATTATAAATTGGTAGCGAAGGAATTCCAGAACAAGGTACAATTCTCGTAAGGGATCTCGGGACCTGTAAACTTTGATGCCCAAATAGGCTCTGATTCAAGCCAGGGGAAATGCGCAGATCTGTTTGTATACTAATGTCCCTGTTTGCCTATCATTATTCTACCGATTAATTTCATTAATTGGGTTTTGGGGGAGCCACACCCAGTGGGTGCTCAGGGGCTATTCCTGATTCTGTGCCCAGGAGTGGTCCCCCGATGATACTACCATCGGGGACCATATAGAATGCTAGGTATTCGAACATGGGTTGATGAGATGTAAGGGAAGTACCTTAACCCTTGTACTGGATCTCCAGTCCTTTTGACTAGTTTTACTCTTTGGGTCACACCCGGCAATGCTCAGAGGTTACTCCTGGCTCTGCACTCAGGAACCACTCCTGGTGGTGCTCAGGGGACCATATGGGAAACTGGGAATTGAACCCGGGTTGGCCGTGTGCAAGGCAGATGCCCTGTTGCTCCAGTTCCGTGTTGACTAGTTTTAAATCAGTACCCCTTCCTTCTGCCTGACTTACGTTTCTTGTCAAATCTCTGATCCTTCTTCCCTCATCTGTGTGTGAGGTCAGCTATGGAAACGTGATAGCCTCACTGCCTCTCTGAGAAAGAGAACCCAGCTCACCCAGAGTGGGTGACCATGGGTGTGTGTCTTTGATCTGGGGGGGGGGTGTTGCGGAAGAAGAAGATCCCATCCACCCTGGAAATTGGGGACTAAGATGAGCCTTAAGGTGTGAAACTTCACAGACGGTCAGATCGTTGCTGGGTGTGCTGTTTGTACTCCAGGACTTGAGTTGAAATTCTCTTCCTCCTTCAGGTGGCTTTGCCTTGGGTGAGATGTCTGACCTCTTATCTGTTCGCAAAAAGGGAGAATGTCAGTGAGGCTCAGAGGTGTTGCATGAATTGTATAATGAGCAGTTAAACAATCAGTGGTACTGGTTGCCAGTATTGTCATCGTGATCACATATTAAAACGAATTCCTTTTTCCTAAGCACCATAACTGTGTGTATGTAGCTGAGCATGGGGCTCCTGACTTACTCTTTCTCTTCATAAAACGGGCAGGAAAGGGACACATTTTCCTTCTGAAGAAGATGATTTTGAAATCCAAACAAACAAAAAACCAACGAAAACTTTGAAATCCAAAATAAACACCAAGTGACGCCTCCAAGGACATGGACATATTTCATTTTCGAGCTTCCTCCTGTCCAACTCATTTTTTTTCTCCAGGAAGGTGGCTCTCATGGCAGAAATTCCTCTTGTCAATTTGTTTCCTGGTTTATTCAACATTGAACTTGAGGACTATTGACGCAGTTACACTGAGTGTGATCAAGTTAGCACCCTTCTGCTTCCCTTGTCACTCACATCATTACTGACCCATAGTTTCCTTTCAATGATTGTGTTCCAGACTTAGCTCCTTCATCTAGGTGGAAATGATGCTGAAATGAGGTGATAAATGGCCCGTTTGCCAATGAGCAAGTGTCCCAATACCAATCATGAGCTGTATTTCAGAGGCAAAGATAAACAAATGGATGAGTGGAATTCCCTCCGTTCAAAAGCTCCATCTTATCTTGGTCACCTCTTGCCACTGTTTGCGAAAATATGCAAGAATGGGCTTAGACGGCCTCGCATGCTGGGGGGAAAGGCAGCTCAGATAGAGAAGGGACCACCAAGTAAAGGACACTTGGAGGACCCGTTCGGGATGGGGTATGTGTGCTAAGAGTAGACTATAGACTGACCATGATGGCCACTTAATACCTGCATTGCAGACCACAACACCTAAAGGAGAGAGAGAGAGTAAAAGGGAATGTGACTGCCACAGAGGCAGGGGGAGGGAGAATAGAGTGGGGGTAGTGGGAGGGATATTGGGAACATTGGTGGTGGAGAATGGGCACTGGTGGAGGGATGGGTACTTGATCATTGTATGACTGAAACATGAAAGTTTGTAAGTTTGTATCTCACGGTGATTAATTAAAAATAATAATAATAAAATAAATAATGGGCTAGATATGTCTGATTTTCAGGTCTACCCAGCACCTGCAAGTGTGTCTGACAGATACCAGGGCCCTGAATACTTTGTTGGGTGAATGTCCAGCACAGAGTAACTATCAGGGGTCTGCAGAGACCCCAGTCATCTCCATTTGCTCCCCCCTTGTTCACTGAGACCACGGTGATCTTCATGTTCTTCTTCGATGCAATGTTAGTTTACGACACTGTTCCTCTAAGGTGGGCAAGGGGGACTCTGCCGCTTCTTGAGGGAGAGCCAGGCACCCTGGATTTGGTACCCTGCTGACTCCTGCGTGCCAGGGCTCCATCTTTCCAGCCCCCCAATCTCATTCAAGTAGAGACCTGAATTTTAACATTCACAAGCCCGGGCCTTTGCTTTGACCATTTCCACTGCCTGAATCCACATTCTCCCAACTCATCCCTTGGTCCCTGTTTCAAGGCCACCTCTGCAGATGCTTCTCTTCTATTTTTCTACTTTTACTGAGCCTCGGTACTGATTACTGATGTAATCCCATCAACGGCCAAGATCCAGAGACTATAAAACAAAGCTTCCTAAAGAGAGCTATGCAGAGTCTCCCAACTCCGTCCCCCTCGGAGAGCCTGGCAAGCTACCAAGGATATCCCGCCCTCACAGCAGAGCCTGGCAAGCTCCCTGTGACCTATTCGATATGCAAAATAGTAACAATAACGATTATCATTCCCTTGACCCTGAAAGAGCCTCCAATAGGGCAACATTGGGAAGGACGAGTAAGGATAGGCTGCTGAAATCTCAGGGCTGGGATGAATGGAGACATTACTGGTGCCCGCTCAGGCAAATTGATGGACAACGGACAAGTGATACAAGTGATACTGAGCCCCAGCTTTACCCCATCTGCACTGCACCCCCATCATCAGAATGCCAATTGGAACGTGCCAGTATCAGCTGGGACTCACAGATTGGTCTGGCAATAGGTCTGGCCCTTGTGGGGTGCTCTGAGTGCATCAGTTTCCTCCACTCTACTCACACCTTGGCATCATGAAAGTGTGGATTTGGCCACATGGGTACAGTCAGAGTCCCAGTGCTGAGGGAATGATCAGGTCAGCTCCATAAACATTGACTGAATGAATAAATGTCCTTTTTGTTTATTTTTTACCACACCTGGTGGTACTTAGGGGTAACTCCTGACTCTACACTTAGGAATCAGTCCTGATGGGCTTGAAAGACTACATGGGATGCTGGGGATTGAACCCTGGTCAGCTGCATGGGTGAATGTCCTCAATTATTGTATCATTGTCATCCCATTCGTCCCAGCCCTGAGATTTTAGGAGCCTCTCCTTACTCATCTTTCCAAACAATTGGAGGCTCTTTCAGGTTCAGAGGAATGAGACTCATTATTGTTACAGTTTTGGCATATCAAATATGCCACAGGAAGCTTGCCAGGCTCTGCCGTGTCAGCGAGATACTCTTGTAGCTTGCTGGGCTCTCTGAGAGGCATATATATGTATATGTATATATATACATGTCCATATATATATATATATATACATGTCCTCGATAGGAAGAATAATGAAGAATCCTAAGAGCTTACCTTTAAGGATGTCTACCTGTTTGCCCCTGAACTCAGCCTTTATAGCTATCATTCTACTGAATTTTCAGGGTGGGTACTCTTACAGCACCCACTTACAGGTAAGGAACGGAAAGCACAGAGAAAGGACTTTTCTGTTTTGCCCAAGGGAACAGAGTGAAGCCAGCCCCTGAATTCCTACACTTGTAGGGATGGGACCTGCCTCAGGATGGTGAAAGCAGCTTGTGCAGTGCAGTATCAAGTCTTCCCGAGGAGTTCCAAGTCCCCCAACTGTTTCACTCCCCGATAAAGGATCCAGGGAAACGCTCTTCTCTCTCTTTCTTTTTTCCATTTTAGGCCATACCCAGAGATGCACAGGGGCTACTCCTGGCTCTGTGTTCAGAAATTACTCCTGGCGGTGCTCAGGGGACCACATGGGATGCTGGGAATCGAACCCGAGTCAGCCACATGCAAGGCAAACGCCCTACCCACTGTGCTATCACTCCAGCCCCTCTTCTCTTTGGTTTGGCAGATCCTTTTCATCCTGATGGACACGGATGAACCCAGAAACAGCCGCATCCTCGAATATTTCCAGATCACAGAGGTTGACATCCCCTGTGTCCAAATTCTAAACTTAAGCGCGGATGCAAGGTATAAAATGCCGTCAGATGAGATAACCTATGATGAGCTCAGGAAATTTGGCCAGAACTTCCTGAAAAACAAAGTCAAGGTAAGTTTGATCTTGAACAAAGCAGACCCTCAAACTCATCTATCTCTTCTTCCATACTTTTGTCGGCTTTGAGACTGAGTGGGGAACACAGAACAAAGAACCCCCCTCATGGCTCACTGTGGGGACGTAACCTCTGTCTCCCTATACCCCTGAAACCCATCCAACATATGACCTGGAAAGACTTTTTTCCACCATGAATTCCAACTTGTCCTCTCTTGGGGAAAGGGGTGCTCCCAAGCATGCTCAGGAGGCTGGGGCGAGTTCCCTTAATCCTTAGCCAGCTACCTTAGGAGGAGTGATTCAATGCCAGGCACCTTAGGATGAAATGCTACTTGGGCCCTTTGGTGCTGGGGATATCTGGGCTGCCTGGCAGTGCTGGGGGCTTCAGGGCTGCTCCCTACTTTGCTTAGGAAACCGTGTGATAGCAGGGATGAGACTCAGGTTGGATGCATGCCAAGCAGGTGTCATAACTGCTGTGATAGCTCCTGGTCCCTCTTATTTATTCTTAAAGACAGTTCCTGTCTGGAATTTCCCTGGGAAATTCTGGGGACCAAAACATGCTCCAAATGCAAGCACTCACCCCTCTTTCTGACTCTAACGGGAGAAGTTTGTTTGGTTTTCTTTGTGAGGAGGAGAGATGGGCGGAGTTGATTGAGTAATCCTTGGATCTAACCTCAAAGCCTGGGGGAGTTAGAGTTGGTTGTATGGGGTTCCAAGGTCATCTGTCTGCAGATGGTAGAGAGAGGTGGCACAAGGCCCTACTCCTAATAGGAGCCGCTCCTGATGTAAGGTCAAACGTGGTTTGTTCAGCACTAACTCGAGCCCCGACTACCCCACTGAGTCAGGTGACTAAATTTTTTGTTTCCCAAACGGGGACACTTCGGAGAGCAATGGAACACATTCTTTAAGACTATTCTAGAGTACTGTTCAGTTGGAGAGACATAGTCTAAACGGAGGCAAAGCCTTTACCTTGCATGTGGCCAAACCCAGTTTGAATTCCAAGTACCTCATATGGTCACTCCTGAACACAGAGTCAGGATTATATTCTGAGGATCCTCAGAGGAGGGCAGGTGAGAGCCCTCTCCGCCCCAAGGAACCCAGCCCCAAAGCCGAAAACCTCCAGAAACCAACCGCCACTCAAGGCCACTCCCCACACACTCAGGCCAAGCCTCACGTATGAGTGATGGTATTCCTGGACCATGTGGCTGAATTCGCATCATCATTAGACACCATAAGAAACATCATAAGACACTCCCTAAACATTCTCCATAAGTACTACACCACATTTGATGAGGCTCAAATAGTAGGCAACAATTTATTGAGGGAAATATATGTATATATGCATATATACATATTTTCAGATAAATATACGAAAGCTCACATCACTCAACCTTTAATAACGTTAGTGATATCCTAAAAAATGTCTTAAAGACCCTTGCCAAAATAAAACAATCTTCACACCGTTTCCTCTATGGATACTTTTTTTGTAGTATTTTCAGCAGTTTTTCATGACAGACAATACAAAATATATTATTTTGATTGTGCTTTGGGACAGGGATTGGGGAATGGGATGGAAACATCCCAAATATGGTGGTGGGAAGGTGTCATGGTGGTGGGATTGTTGTTTAAATATTAAATGTAGTCAAATATTGTGAACTACCTTATAAAATGGGCTGGAGCGATAGCACAGTGGTAGGGTGTTTGCCCTGCACGCAGCCAACATGGCCGACCCGAGATCGACTCCTCCGCCCCTCTCAGAGAGCCCGGCAAGCTACTGAGAGTATCTTACCCGCACGGCAGAGCCTGGCAAGCTACCCGTGACGTGTTCAATATGCCAAACACAGTAACAACAAGTCTCATGATGGAGACGTTACTGGGCCTGCTCGAGGAAATCAATGAACAATGGGAGGACCGTGACCGTGACCGTACCTTATAAAATAAAAAAAATATTAAAAAAAAGAAAAGAAATAGACCCTGAGCACTGCTGGGTGTGCTCCCCCCCCCTCCCCCCCAGCATTCGAGAATTAACAGGAATAGAAGAAAGACTTTCCAGGAAAACTAGAGTGTCCGATCACCTTGTCAGCTGCCTTCGGTTGGGTCATCCCTTCCCGCACATCCCAGCTTCTGGGCCTTTCCCAAACGAAAGCTGTTTTTCACTGATGCAAATGGTGGTGGCCCAATGCAATGCCATACCACATCCAAAGCAATTCCCTTCCTCCTCCTCCCTCTCCGAGTCCGCAGAACCTTTGGGTCTTGGGTCTGGACCTTAGGCTGCCCTCCCTCATTGCTGTCCTTGGATGCCTTCATCCCTTCACTCAGCAAAGTTCATGTGCTTGGGGCAGCCTTGCTTCTCTGCCCTCCCACTTCCTTCTCCCATCTTGACGTTCTGTGTCAACTTCAGTCACCTGCTCTTTGTCCACTCCCAAGAGAGCATCCCCTTGAAAACCAGATTTCCAGCTCCTAGCCTCTTCGTTCCCTCCCGAGCACCCATGTTCTCTTTCTGTTGCCTCCCCACCTCTGCCCCCCACTTCTCGATCTTTCCCTCCTTGGTGAATTTTGTTTTGCTAATATCTTTTAAAATTGAGATCGGTTGCCTTCTACTTTGCATTCCATCCAATGTGTGCTACTCCTCTTGTGAGATGTCGCTTCCAGGTATTTTAAAATTTTAAATAAGGCGATACATACAGCTGGAATAAAATTCTAACTGGATGGTGACTTTGGGATCTGGAGGCATCTCTGCTGCTTGTTGATCTCCTCCAAGATTTATTTGTGAGTCTCTGGATCATGGCTGTTCACGAGCTTATATGGTGCTGGAGGCAGTTTGTGGGTGTGACCACCGGCCCCTGGAAGAACAGTGATGGGAGAGGTCACCCATCCCCAACTCCATGAAAGCCAGGAGATTTCGACCACAAAACCCGCATACCTGAGGTTTTCCACAGATTCATTCATGGATGAGGCGCGTCTGAGCCTATGGAGATCGGCAGTGAGCAAGGTGGCAATTGGATTCTGGAGGTTTTCTGCTACCAGGGCTCTGCTAGGGCAGGTAGTGAGACTCATTCACTCCCCTCCCGGGTGCCCCGGGTATGAGGGTCAGCCTGGCACTGGATCTGGATACATCTTACAGCTTATTGATTTCTTCTGAGATCTGTTTGTGAATCTCTCCTTGTGAATTTGATGCCACAGTCCATCCCCTCCTCGAGTACATCCCTACTACCAGCTGGGTCAATTGCAGGATGATTTCACTGAACATCAGCACACCACAGGTTAAACCCACTTAAAACGATCACATCCCAGATTGTTCCCATTTCAGCATCCCTTCCAGGCCAGTACTGGAGAGAAAGCACCTCCCAGGACATTTGTGGGGGTTAAGAAATGTCCTGGTGTTTCTGGCAAGGCCACTTGTGCCCAACTCTTCTTCTTCTTTGCAGCAATGATTTGACCTGACTTTCCAATTTCCTTCCAGAAACACCAGTCGAGTGAAGAGGTTCCAAAGTTCTGGGACCAGAGGCCGGTGAAGCAGCTGGTTGGGGACAACTTCAACTCCGTTGTCTTTGACAAGGCGCGGGATGTGTTTGTGATGTTCTGTGAGTATCTCCAAAGACACCCTGCCTGACTTGACAAGTGTCACCCCCAAATTCCTGGAGACCCAGATCTCTAAAACAGATTATCCAACCCCCGTGTCCCAAAGCATCCTTAGATATTTAGAACGTTTGGATCAGGACTCACTGCAGCTTCCAGTGCAGTGCACCCTCCTCCCCCAAAATAATCTTTGGCTTATGTGGGATATGCTCCACATCCTGATCTGGGTCTGTGGTTGTTTCTGACAATAAGAATGCTTACGTTGGGGCCAGAGGGATGGTACAGCAGGCAGGGCATTTGCCTTGTATGCAGTCATGCCAGATTTGATTCCTAGCAATCCATGTGGCCCCCTGAGTCCACCAGGAGTGATTCCAGAGTGCAGAGCCAGGAGTAAGTTCTGAGCACTGAGTGTGGCCCCAAACAAAAACAAACAAAAGAAAGCTGATGTCTCCTAACTCATTGATGACTGTTCTAAAGATGAGCTCTGTGTTGGCCAGGTATGTCCACAGTTTCGTTTCTGTCTGTACTTGCAATTGATATCAATGAATTCACCACCATGTACTTTTATGTTCACTTGACTTGATCACTTGACATCTCGTTACTCATCAATTTGCTCTAGTGGGTACCAGTAACATCTCCATTTGTCCCAGTTGCGTGCTAGTATAGCCCAAAGGCATCTGCTCATTCTAGAAACACGAAGAGACTCAAACCGATCGTTAAGGGTCTTGACGAAGAAGTCTGACCATCTCATAGGTGGGCAGCCACGCGGTCTTTTGACATCCCATGGAATCCAGTCGGTAATGGCTCTAGTCCAGTGGTTGTCTCCAAATCTGATTTTTGACACCTTGGCAAATGAGACAGCATCCTTTATTCTTGACCATCAAGGGAGGTCGGAACTCCGAATTCTTTCTCTCATTTGAGTGAAGTGGGTTACTCTAAGCAAAGGTGTTCATGGTTGGGTTTCAGTCATATAATGTTCCAACACCCATCCCTTCTCCAGTGTGCATTTCCCACCACCAGTGTCCCAGTTTCCCACCCACATCCTCCCCCCCCACCTGAGGCACTTTTCTTTTCTCTCCCTCCTTCCCCTTCTGCCTCTCCTTCCCTTCCTCCCACCTCTCTTTCTCTCTGTCTCTCTGTCTCTCTCTGTCTCTCTCTGTCTCTGTCTCTCTTTCTCTCTTATCTCTCCTTTTGGAATCTGTGGTTTGCAGTACAGACACTGAAAGTTGACACTTCAACAACGCCATGTGCTTTTATGTCTGGACTTGTCCCACTGAGCACAGGGCTTCTGAGACTCACCGGATGAGCATCTATCATCCTCTATGCTTCGTTGCATCCTCTATGTTCTGGCTGTGCCTCCCATGGAGCCATTCTCTGCCTTGTCTCATTTAATTTGAACACACTTTCCAAAGGAGATCTATGACCACTCCCATTTTACAGAAGACAAAACAGTCTTGAGGAGGTGAGGAAACACTAGTCCATGCTGGTCCAGGGACAGGAACCGAGGCAGCCTAACTCCAGGAGCTACACCCGCAACCACAGAACAGGTGCCTGTGGCTTCAGGCTCTGAGTGGCACCCCCGAGGGCACGTGTTTATTCAGCCCAAGTAGGTGATGCCAACTCAGGGGCCGAATCATACATGGCCCAGACTTAGCGTGGTGGTTAGCAAGATGCCGGCCTGTGATGAGTGCCATAGCTGTGGTTCCTGTTGATGTTTTTTCAATTTCTGTCTTTGGGGGCCATGACTGGAAGTGCCTCCTGGCTTCCTCCTGGCTCTGCGCTCAGAGTTTGCTCCTGTTACTGCCTTATGTGCTGTGCTCTCTTTCGGGTACCCTATTGCCAGTATTTATTTATTTATTTATTTATTTATTTATTTTGGGGTCACACCTAGTGATGCACAGGGGTTACTCCTGGCTCTGCGCTCAGGAATTGCTCCTGGTAGTGCTCAAGGGGACCGTATGGGATGCTGGGAATCAAACCTGGGTCAGCCACGTGCAAGGCAAACGCCATCCACACTGTACTATCGCTCCACCCCCCTTATTGCCATTCTTTTCCCCAGAGCCCACCTGACACTAGGCGCCCTTTTTCTCCCTATTCCTCCTGATTTGCATGGGGAGCCCAAGCCAGGGGTATTGTCTGCTTCAGACATCCTTCAGTCCACAACGGGGTGTTCACTGTTGGTTGAGGACATACAGTAAGTTTCTCTCTGTTGCTTCTCAACAAAAATAACCAAACAAATGCCAGTGGGTTTCCTCATGATCCAGATCAGGGAGAAATCCAGCCCCAGACACCTGGTGCCCTTGAGCCCAGGTCACAGGGTGAGTTGAAAGGCAGGAAGTTCAAGGACAACTCTGATGGCTGTTAAATGGAGTTCCTGGCTGTTAAATGGCTGTTCCTGGAGGCTGGAAAATGAGGGCAGCCTCGCATCATGTGGCCTTTTAAAATCCCATGGAAATGGGCTCTCACCGTGGGGCCAGGGCCTATGACAGACCCGTCCGTAAGGATGGGTGCTGGCAGGTTGTTCCATGAGAGGTTGGGGCAGACTTTCTGTGCTTATCTGACCCCTGGAGTTAGCAAAGTGCCTTATTTGGTTCTGGTAAAAGGCTCAAACAGCCTCATTTTCTTAGAAACAGGCTGTCAGATTGGCTCTCTGGGGTTATGGCCATTAATGCCCCCTTGTATTCCCACCCGAGGCCTATGGAGCTCCAGGGGTGCCGAGGGTGGATTGAACATGGTGAGAAGCTCATCCTTGGCACCCAGAAACTTGGGTGAGACAATGAGCAGTCCACTAAGTAAGTTGATTCTCTCCTTACTGGACCTCCAGAGCACTGGGAACCTGGACCCGGCTCAGGGGAACTGTCCACAGGGAATCCAGTGTCTCCCTTTTGGGGTACGGGGTAGCTGGTCACTTCCAGGACACCTCCTTCCCCACAGGGCTGAGAGGCAGTGTGGTCACATGGTCTCTGATCAGCCTGTTTTCAAATCCCACTTCCTCCCGCTAGTTTCCAGGGTGACCTAAAGCCAGCAACAGAACCTCTTAGAAAACATATCACCTCATTTCTAGAGTTGTCGGGATTTTCTTTTACTAGAGTGGAAGGGTCAGAAAAAGGAAGTTGTACCAAATGAGCTAAACACTTACTGAACATTCATAAGTGTCTGAAGGAAAGGCTGTGTCTAGCTTATTTCATTAAGATCAGGTTCTGGGGTCAACATATACAATAACATACGGTTCAGAGGGAGAAGGGGAACTTCCAGAAAACAGTGCTGATGTGTGGGGGGAGTTTGTGGTGTGTGTGGGGAGTGATGGGGAGTGACAGTGTGATGGGGAGTGAGTGTGTTTGGGGAATGATAGTGTGTATGGAGAGTGAGTGTGTATGGGGAGTGAGTGTGTATTGGCTCTGAGTCTTGACTAATTGTCAGTCTAAGCCACAGCCCTTCTCTTCCAGATGCTCCTTGGTCTGAGAAGTGCAGAGTGCTGTTCCCCGTGTTGGAGGAGCTGGGCGGACGGTATCAAAACCACCCCACAGTCACCATTGCCAGAATTGACATCACGGCCAATGACCTCCAGCCTACATACCTGGACCGGTACCCCTTCTTCAGGTTCTTTCCCACGGACTCTCAAGAAGTGAGGCGCCTTTTGGGACTCGGAACTGGAAATGTTGCGTTATTAACACTAACACAGTCTCTCCCTGTCTCCAGCCTCTCCCACTGCTAAATGAGCTCTTCCCCCAACAGCAGCCCTTACCACCATCTTGTGTTCAATGAAAGAGTCTTTTCCTTTGGTTTTCACAGAAGCCCCCAGACTAGGTCCTCTTGAGTTCCCTTTAGGTCAGTTGCTCACACCTGACCAGTGTGGTCCAGTGGATGTAGGCATTTAGGTGACCAAATTCCAGTTACATGGTTCCTTCTGATAAACCAATGAATGAAGTTGTGGGGGCTCTCCCCAAGTTATTGGAGATGTAATGCTACTAGAAGAAAAAAATGCAGGAGGGAACAATGTCTTTTATACCTCGAGCCTCACAGTCATCAAATATCACCAGTGTCCATGGAACACCCTCGCCATGTCCTTAGGCATGGCTTTCAATCAAAGAAGGAGCAGCCCACCCAGCTCTCTGCTCCTGAGAGAAGAGCCTGGTGGAATGTGGGGGAAAAACATTATGATCTAGATCCATCTCGGGACACTGGAAGTTGGAGGAGACTTTGTGGAGGACAGACAGGTTACTGGACATCTTGGTGCAGACATGAGCCTTTGGAGAAGGGCAGGGATTCCAATCGGATCAGAAAGGGCGTGAGCCAGAGGCAGAAAGCATGATGCTGATTGGATGGTGGGAAGAATCACAAACACAGCACCATGAAGGCGTGGCCCTCCAGCTGCAGAGGGTGTTGGAGGAGGTGGTAGGCCACGAGGGTTTCTGAGACAGTGGGGTGTCACCAATTTTCATTTATCTGGCAAGGGGTCTATGCAAAGTGAGTGCAGGAAGGATGCTGCTTTATACCCTCTAGAAGGAGGAGTTAGTGATGACAGAGCGCTGATCATGTCCCAATGTTTTGTGAAGTTTCCATTTTTTTTTCTTGGTTTTTTTTTTTTGGAGGGGGGACACCTGGTTATACTCAGCAGTCACTCTTGGATCTGACTCAGGAATTACTCCTGGCAGTGCTCAGGGGACCAGATGGGATGCCAGAAATCGAACCTGGCTTGGCCACATGCAAGGCAACTGCCCTACCCACTATACTATCACTCTAGTCCTCATTTACTCTTTCAAGTAACAGGGCTCCTTGTCAACCAGTTTGAAGAGTTTTTCATATGAGAACCCATGATGTCTGCTCAACAACAACATTAACAGAGTCATGGAGAGTGTATGCAAACCAGACCACCCCCCACCGTGGTGATGTCAGGGCCCAAGACGGCTCTGTGGCTCTGGTCTCCCCAATGCGTCCTGGGAAGAAGGAGTCTTCATTATTGACCTCTTTAGGCTGTTTACAATGAAGGTTGAGATAGATTCAAGAACCGGGTCCTTGCCTGCAGGAAGCTGACCCCTGATTTACCTACAGCACATTTCTTGAGAGTTTTTGCAGAAAGAAGCTAACATTTGGATCATTCCTTCCTCTTTCTAGGCTGTCCGCTATGAGGGAGAACACACCCTGGAGGCCTTCACTAACTTCCTGAAGAGCCAAGTCAAGATCAGGAGGGAGGATGAAGATAAGGTAAGGCAGAAACAGTCCTCTCCTCCCCCCACCCCACCTCCAGGTTGCTTTTTCTGTCGCACAGAACCAACCATCAAAAGTTCAAGGTACTGGGGCTGGAGCAATAGCGCAGCAGGTAGGGCACTTGCCTTGCATGCGACCAACCTGGGTTCGATCCCCAGCATCCCATATGGTCCCCCCGAGCACTGCCAGGAGTAATTCCTGAGTGCAGAACCAGAAGTAACCCCTGTGCATCGCCGGGTGTGACCCAAAAAGAAGAAAAAAAAACTGTTCAAGGTACTGAGAAACCAGGTGTCTGTGGAGATGTGGAGAAGGAAAGAATAGCCATCCAGTTTTCATAACAATTTTTGGGCACTTATAGGAAGCAGGGATGGCAGACTTCCAGAATGTGGGGAAGTGTTAAAACTCCAAGGTCTCACCTACCTCTTCAGACAGTTTCCCTGGGTCCACTGTTCCTGAGCTGTGAATCTGATGTCTTAAATGGGATTCTGCCCTTTATTACTCTTCTCCTGGTGTGTGGACAATTATCCTTATTTTGGGTTTTTTTTGGGGGGGGGCAGTGTCACATCCAGTTGGCCATATCAGGGATCACTCCTGGTGGGGCTCAGGAAGCCATAAGGGGTGTTTGGGGATTGAACCCAGGTTGGCTGCTTGCAAGGCAGGGCACCCTATCCACTGAGCTAATCTCTCTGGCCCCCTCAACTCTTACTTAAAAGCTTCTCCTGTTCTGGTCTCAGGTCGAATGCTAGAAGGTGCCTTTAGCAATCAGGTCCCATTTCAGCTGCAAAAGTCACACCAGTTTCAGTTACCCCTTTCTAGCAGAGCTTCAGGGGCCCAGTCTCCAGCAGTCACTTCCCAGGGAGGGACAGAGATTGTCACAAGGCTCTAAGCACATGCCTGGTTTCAGAGCTGGGCATGGGTGTAGCCCCCACCCACCCCTCACCACCCTGTGTGGACTGTGTGAATGAAGCATGGTTCCCCATGGTGCACTCATGGGCAGGGCACATTCCTCACCCCAGACAAATGGGCATTTGCATCCCTGAGGAGGATCTCCAATTTTCTCTGGGCATTTCCAGAAAATAAAGGGATGGTGATTCTAACCACAGTTAGCCCCTCAGGCAGGCCTCTTTCATTTCATTATCTTCCTTCTTCCTCCTACTCCTCCCTCCCTCCCTCCTCTTCCTTTTTTTTGACCAGCTCATGTCTGTGGAGCAAGATGAAGAAGAAATTGAAGCGGAGATCATTGAGCACATGGAAAGACCTCCTAAGAAGAAAGAGTTACTGAAACAGAAGTTACCGGAGTTGGAGAATGCAACCAAGCTGGAAGAGCCAGTTGGGGGGGATCAAATCACCAAGAAAGCTGCTAAGCCAAAGAGACCTCCCCAAAGAGAGACGAAGCCGAGGGTGAAGGAAGAACTGTAGGGTTTCTGAAGCGAGGAGGGAAGACAGCTATTCCCCAGGTCCCGGCGTTTGTTTTCGGTGTAGATCTCCTTCAATCATTGTATACGTCATTGTGGGTGTTTGCAGAGAGAATGAAGAATAAAAGTTCCTGGAAGCCCAAGGTCTCTGTTTTATTTATAACCTCATTTTCCAGGTAGGAGCTGCCATGGTCGAGCTGTCTGGAATTCATACAGACCTTGCAAGGAGAACCCTGCAGGCAAAATTTAATGAGTGCTCACAACATTTTGTTTGCTGCAGTTCTCTCCACCTCACCGGGAGTTAAGTTTTGTTGTTCTAGAATAAAACACAAGAGCAAACCAATAGAGCTGAGAGCTTTATTGGCGATGAAATGACTTCAGTTGGGGAGAATGGCGGCCAGCAAGAGCTGGACAACAGCTTTGCAGAGCACCAGTCGGGTCTGGTTTTAAGCCCAGGCAAGAGAGACACAATAGTTCGTGCATAATCTAGTCATTGTTTTTAAAATGGGGGGGGCCTCATACATATTCATGAGGGAGGCCAGGGGGCATGAACAAATGAGAAATATGCAAAGACCTTGTACAACTGGTCTCAGACAGCATCATCAAGGTAGTGAAGATCAGGAAGACGAGAAACTGAGGTGGGTCCTGCTGCGCACCCTCCCCTGGCCGGCCCTGGGTCCTTATCTACACGAAAAGTGTCCTCAAGGTCCTACCTTGTTGTGATCAGGGCCGGTCCCCTAGATCTCCCTCGCAGCTTTTCTTTCTACCTTCTCATCTGCTTCTTCTGATGCACACGAGGCCGGAGTGGCGGCAGGTTCTCTGTGTTGGTTCTCGATTCCCAAGTTCTTTACTATTTCCTAGAATGAAAATAATGGATGAGAAAGAGGCTCAGACTCAGAGTTGGAAAGTAGCAAAGTTTATTGGAAAGTAGAAGGGGAAAGAACAGAAGCTCCCTAAGTGGGAGGAACGAGTGTAGGACTAATTTGAAAGGGAGTTTTGTGGGTGCCTTTTAAAGGCTCCTTGTATTCCTGATCAGTTGACAAGGGTCGACAGAAGATGGCCAGGAAATCGCAGGGATGTCCAGCGGGTCTAAATCTCTCAGACAGAACTGCCATTATCTTAGTTTCGCTATCAGCTTAGGCTCCAGGGTAGAGTTTTATGCTCTTGGGAAGCCTGGGGAATGCTGAGACTAAACCTTGGGGGTGAAATGTGTGTCAGGTTGATGGGAGAGAGATGGAGCATGTGGACAGAGAGGACTCTGGCTTCATCTCTCACTGGCAAGGGAAACGGGGCTTCTTTTTGGTAGCACTCAGTTCCCCCTCCCGCACCCTCACAGCTGCATGGAACCTGCATTGAGAGACCCTTATCTGCAGGGCCTGGGTTGGATCACCCCCACCTCCAAGTTCCTGTGTGTGCGTGAGTGTGTGAATGTGTGTGTGAATGTGTATCTATGTGCATGAGTGTGTGTGTGTAGTGTGTGTCTATGTGTATGACTATGCAAGTCAGTGTGAGTGTGTCTATGTGTGAGTGTGTGAGTGTGTGAGTATGAGTGTGTGCGTGTGTTGATGAGTGTGTGAGTGTGTTTGAGTGTGTCAGTATATGTGAGTGCGTCTATGTGGGTGTGGGTGTTTGTGTGAGTGTGTATGTATGAGTGTAAGTATGTGTTGATGAGTGTGTGAGTGTGTATGAGTGTGAGTGTGTGAGTGAGTGTGTGAGTATATGTGATGTGTGTGTTTGTGTGAGTGTGAGTGTGAGTGAGTGAGCGTGAGTATGTGTTGGTGTGTGTATGAGTGTGTGAGTATGTGTTTGTGAGTGTATGTGTTGAGTGTATGAATGTGTATGAGTGTGTGTAAGTATGTGTATGTGTGATGTGTGTGTTTGTGTGAGTGTGTGTGAGTGAGTGAGTGTATGTGTGTGTATGAGGGCTCAGGGGGCTATTTCTCCCTCTGTGCTCAGGAGTGACGCCTGGAGGTGCTCCAGGTTCCAGCCTTAAGAACACTGGGTGCCGGTCAAAGGGGAGGTTCCCTGGGTTTGCCAGGACAAATCACTAGAACCAGATCCACCCCCATCCTCAGCATTCACACTTCCCATAAACCAAGAAAGTAGTGAATGGTATTGGGAGGGGACACCCCTTGATTCAGAAGTGATGCAGGGATTAAATCTGGATTGGATGCATGCAAGACTAACTACCTTAACCCCAAACTCTGCAGTGCCCCCTCCCCGCCAAAGTCCCATTTGTCACAGAACATTCATTTCAGGGGGTGGGGAGGGTAATGGTGGGTTGTAATAGACCTCCTCTGGGGAAAAGGGGAGGCGGGTGGGTGGAGAGACAGCCCCCACCCTGCCCCACTCCTGCCACCTGCCTGCTGAGCTCCAGGCAAGTCTAGGCCTTCTCCAGACCCCAGAGTTCGTCCTGTGCTTTGCAGGGTCTGCAACCAGACACATCAACAAACAGCCCTGGGGCTCTGGAACACACCAGAGCCAAAGGCCCTGACTACAGCCCTTGTTAGTATTCGAGACACGAAGCAGGGCTCACCCGGGCAGCCTGAAGAACATGTGATGGCTGGGCTAGTCACGAGGACCAGATCTACCACTACTGCCAACACACACACACACACACACACACACACACACACACACACACACACACACTTCCCGTAAGACAGGAAATGGGTGAAGGGTAGGGGGGACTCCTCCATCATAGCGTCTCCCCCTGGATTCATTTTTGCCCTGTTCCCAGCATATTCCTTGCAGCTCCCAGCACCATGAGGCTGTTCCATGTTTAAAACTCCCCACTCTGTAGTCCATCACTTTCTGCTCAACACACCACGCACTACTTATTCCACTCAGGCTCTCTTGTGGCTGAGTGTGGAATGTTCTTTACCCCATGGTGCCTCCTAAGGCCGTCTCTGAGGGAGGGTTGGGAGTGTGGATTTAGGTGCTCTAGGGGGCCGCTGTGTCTTGGGGAAGTGATTCAGCTTCTCTGAGAGCCCCGGTGATTGCGTTTCATCAGAGGGGTCAAGGGCTGGAAAACCCTGGGCAGAGCATCAGACCCAAGGGAGGCTATGGGTGAGTGACAGTTGTCAGGATTCTTGGTACAGGGCGCGCTGCTGAGGGAATTAAGTCAGGAATGAATTATAAAAGGGCTGGAGCGATAGAACAGCGGTAGGGCGTTTGCCTTGCGCACAGCCAGCCCGGCCGAGCCGGGTTTGATTCCTCCACCCCTCTCGGAGAGCCCAGCAAGCTACCAAGAGTATCTCGCCCGCGCAGCAGAGCCTGGCAAGCTACCGGTGATGTATTCGATATGCCAGACACAGTAACAACAAGTCTCAAAATGTAGACGTTACTGGGCCCGCTCGAGCAAATCGATGAACAATGGGAGGACAGTTTGTTTTGAATTATAAGAGGGTCTCCCAAAGCAAACCAACTGGCAACAGAGACAACAGGAAGGTGGGGGGTGGAATAAAGAGAGGAAGTCTTGTGGTAGGGGTGCTGATCTGGGGTGGATAAAGGGGTGACAATGATACTCATCGGTGTGAAGCTGCACTGTAAAAGTCCTATCATATTATTCACGAAGGAGAAATCAACCGACTAACTTAGATGTCTTCTGCCCAGTTTTAAAAGTTGAGTCAGGAAGCATTCTGAGTAGGAAGGAAGTGCTGAGATTGAATCAGGCTAAGCCCAAACCCAGTTGCTGAGCAGCTCGGGAAGTTAAGGAGGAAGCTATTGGCTGGATGTGACCCCACGTGGTCCATTCTGGTGACCCTGAAGAGCCAGTGTTTCCTCTGGAAGCCCTGATAGCAGATCAGTGTGAAGTGGAGACGGGCGTGTGTGGTGTAGACAGGTGTAGGGAGGAAGTGTGGCCAGGACTGGGAGGGCAGGGGGTGGGCGTTAGGATACTCCAGGGCTCAAGGAGAGGGTGCGAAGGGGCTGGGCAGAAAGCCGGGTCCTTAGAGTCACAGAGAGATGTTTTATGGGGAGAAGGTGGGGAAGAGGGTTCCCAGCAGAGGTGGGGGTGATGGGGTCACTGCTGAGGGCTCCAGGCAAGTAGGACATGGAGTCAGGAACTGAGGCGGGGATGGGCTTAAGGAGAGAGTTGGGGAAATGGCCCTACAGAGAAATGCCCCCAAGGTGGGCAAGCTTTGCTGAGGGGAGGGGGTGCTTATTTATTATATAAAGGGGGGGCCTTCTCAGCCCTCAGCTAAGGCCAGGGCCACAGATTGGGAGAGAAGACTCCAATGCCAAGAAGGGGGGGTGCAGCACCCCACAGACTGGGAGGCAGGGACATGTGGGAAAGACGGAGCTGTGCTTGAGGGCTGGACCTTGCGTGTGGGAGGCCCTGGATTCCATCCCCAGCAACTCACACCCCCACCCCCTACTGCTCCCCCCGGTAATCCCCATGTCAGTGGAAACAGAGCTTTTCCTGGGGTTCCGGAGAGAAGAGATAGAGGCTGGGAAGCAAGCACGTTGGGAGATCTGGGAGGGAGCACTGGGCATTGCTCCTCATGGGTGGTCCTTAGGGTGAGACTGAAAATGAGGGGCGGGGTTGAATACGAGGTTGGCAGGGATCCTAGCACGGCCCCTAGGCCAGGGGTGGGCATGTCTAGGAATTAGTGACCCCACAGGCGCAGTGGTGGTTAGCAAAGCCTGGACATAGAAAAGCACCAAATACTAAAACTTAAAATGCTTCAGAGGGTTGAGTGAAGTCCAGTTGACTCCCATCTGCCTGTTCGGGCCCTGTGTCCAGACACTCCAGGAGTCCCATCATGGACTCCCTGAGAACACCAGGGCTGAGGTGTAGCCAGGGTTGCCTCTGTTTCCGGCAGAGCCAATACTCGGCCAGGGCTCACCAAAGAATCACAGATTTACAGGACCACAGGAGAGCTGATGCGAAGAATGTTTATGGTGCTTGGGGCTGGTGAGGACTGTGTGGTTGGCGTGGGACCCACCAGGAAAAGAAAATGTTTGTGGGTGCTGTTTGGGAGGAGGCATTCAGGCTGGTTC